CTTCATTTTTCCCCATCTTTTTAAAATCTTACCGTCTTTAAAACAAGATCCACTCGACCAACTTTAGATTGGTTTCATACTTCTTTAAATAAAAAATTTATCATAAGCAACGTCTTATTGTATTAATGAATATATGATTATATTCAAATTCAAGATTCTTAAGACAGGGACATAAAAACAATTAACACATTATTCAACTGTGTTGTTTTAATAAACGTATCTCATAACTGATGGTAATTTTAATATAAAACAAACCAACTTATCATGATTTCGACATCATGAACCAAATAAGCCCGTTGTTTTCGAAACTTTTTAACTACCATTGAATCATAACGCCCTTAATCAAAACCGAATTCATCTTTTTCCATCTGGTGTACTTGGTTTAGACTTACATCCAGTGTCACGCCCCCTAATTACCATAAGGTGTTACATCTTGACGATACATCCATCAGTAAAATAACTGTTTATATTGCATACACGTTAGAAGCACTTGTAAGCATATCGTAAATGTAATATAAATGTCACATCTAACTGAATGAGAATACCTCCCCTTAGAACATCCTTAACAAACTTCAACGTACCATGACATTATGTAACACAATGCAAATCATAGTTCCCTTTGTAAAACAGTTATGTAAATCATATCACAACATTTGCATAAATGCAAAACAACGTACTTTATGATATCTCAACTTGCATACTGTATGGTGTGGATCATCTCTGGCATATGTTATCTAAAATAATACACAGGTCTTCTCCATCATACAATCGTCCCTATATAACTTAACACGACATATAGGTCTTATCCAACAATACCAGCCTACTCATACTTTTACAGGTTCCACCATCATTATAGGCGTATCGACATGTGAACGCACACATATACAAAAATCATATTCATGTATAGCAAAATTCCATATCTCAAAGTACATCAGCGTGTCAGATAGTTCAAAACATAATATGTAAACATCTCAATGTTTCTAAAAACACATCGTCTATAAATTTGATGAATGAACAGTTTATTATGAATTATTACGAAATCTTTAGGAAAGAAATTTGACGACATCACATGTTGTACGACACTCCCAACATGCTTTCTATCTTTAAAACACGTGTAAACAACATGTACTTCATAATACTGACCTTAATTCATTGATCATGGCACAACAATATTTACTACGCTTTCTTATAAAATTGACTGCTTTAAGGTCTTCTTCTTAGCTTAAAACTGACGTCAAATGGTTTTCCATCATATTTTACTGCTAACACATTCACAAAAAACATTTTTTCTCTCCGATTTTGTCCCGACTTTTTCACAAACATGCATTAACTTTTTGTATTATCAACTTTCATGATTTTACTTGTTCAGTCCCCAACTTGGATATTTCTTCTCATTTAAGTCAAGTTTCTGGGTGTTAGATCAAAAAACAACGTATTTTCTTCATTTGTTATTTTTTAAATACTAGATTAATACTGAAGTACCTATAACATTTTTGTACAACTTAATGGTTGTTAATAACCAAATACAAACACACATACAATATATATATATATATATATATAGGGGGTCATTCAAGGGAGAACTGAGTTGTTTGTGGTAACTGTGAGAACCAATCTCAACCACGAATCAATGGATAAATTAGGAAACTGATAATTTTGGTAATTTGACTTAAAAATTCAATTAAAGGGCATTTTAGGTATTTTTAAAATCTCCTCTCT